TCATTATTATTTTTTATTGAATATTTTTATGCATCAGTACTCATCTCATATTTTGTGTTATTTTTTTAAGAAACACCTTAGATAATTGTATTTTGGTTGGACTAAAGAAATATTTGGAGCACAAGTTAATTATTTGTTTGTATGCAAACTTTACCAAAAATCTGAAAAAATTTGAGGTTTATTAGTTTGGTTTGATTTATAAATTTAAAAATTCGATACAATGATTTGGTTTGGTATTTGAAAAACCTGAACCAACCTGAGGTTGAAAAACCTGAAAAAATCCAAATTTTATTAGTTTGGTTTGGTTTATAAATTTAAAATTTTTCCACAAATAGTTTGGTTTGATATTTGAAAAACCCGAACCAACCCGGTCATGTACACCCCTATTTCTTGTAATATAGAAGAATTTTATATGTTAACTGCAAGATGCGTTCATGGAGCAAAAAAGGTAGAGGTTAGCCGATACACCGTTTGATAACCGCCTTATTAGTGTTACTTCGTTATCGAATCAATCGATATCTTATTGGTTGACTAGCAGATTAGTAAAATTAACAATCGATATCCAATAAGCCAAACCTTTAAGCGAAATTATCTGTCCGATCCGCCCAATAAGCAGCCCTACCGAAAACTCACTCAATTTATCTCTTGTAATTTCACCTATTAGCTCATCAATTGCACCGACAACAGCTGCACGGCTTTACGAGTCTTCATATAAATAAGAGATGCAAGTAATTGAAATTTTTTTCTAATGGGAGTGCGTTGATGCAATGCACCTGATGGAAATAATATAATAGGTCTCAAATGAATGTTTCAATGTTGATGCGAGAATTCAAAAACACAAAACTCGATTCGTGGTGAAAGGATATTCACAACAAGGTATAGATTTTGAAGAAATATTTTCTCCTATTGTTCGATTTGAAACAGTGAAAATTGCTTTGACTTTGATTGCGCAATTGTATTTGCATGTGTATCAATTTAATGTGAAGTATACTTTAATTTCTTGAATGGTAATCTAGAAGGGGAGGTTTATATTTCACAATTTTAAGGCTTGTTACTAATGGCGATGAGATTACGAGAACAAAGTCTACAAGTTAAGAAAAGCCTTTTACAAGCTAAACAAAATTGATTCATCCTTTCAAGATAGTGAATTCATAAGAAGTGAAAATGACCCCACTTTGTACTTAAAGAAATCAGGTAATGGCGATTTTTTGTTGATTTGTCTCTCTACGTTGATGATATGATCTATATTGGTTCCTCTAAGTCTTTAGTTGATGATTTTAACTCCAATATATATAAAGAGAACCTTTGAGATAACTGATCTGGGCTAAATGGAATATTTTTAGAAAACTTACTTGGGTGAATACTTTTTATAAGAAATAATTACTGATTTTAGTGATACTTTATTTATTACTATCATATATAGCAATATTATGATAAATCTGCATTATGTATTAAAAGTGAATTGTGCATACAATATAGATGTATTATAAGTGTTTTAAAATATACGGAGAAGGGCCTAAAATGCCCCTCAAGTATTTGAATTGGTACAAAATTACACTCCATCCACCTATCGGCCCTAAAATACCCCTGACATCCACCTTTCTGCTCAAAAATATCCTTATGTCTAATGGATCAATATCTTCCTATTGCCCTATTTTAAAGCAACCCAAATCTAATAGTTTAGGGGCATTTTAGGCTCTTTTCTGTTAAAATAATTTCAAATTACTTAATATATAAGCTCACATGATTGACTTTATTTTGAATTTCATAGTAAATTTAAAATTATAAAAAGGTTAGGCATCTACTCTCTACACTCCTCCCTCCCCGACCCTTCACTTCCTATATCTTCCATTTTTTTTCTATTTGGATCTTGTCCACCATTTTAGTTTTTTTTTAAAATTTATGACAAACAAGAGAGAAAAAAAGAAGGAAAATAACGATGCATTCATATAGAAATAATTAGTTCAATAAAAGATGACTTAATTAAGCAAATACGTACAAATATTATATTTTTCTTTTGTGTGTACCCAAAATTAAAAATAAAAGAATAAAAATATTCATTTCTCTTATCCCCACCCTTATCCCATCACGACAATAATACTTATTAAAAGAATATAAATATGTGAGTTCATTTCAAGTTGAAGTCCTGGATATTCTAATTAAGAATAAGAAATTAAAAAGGAATAAAAGAGAAAATGAACAAGACATTTGGATAATTGAGAGAATTTTATATTAATGAAAATAATATTCTTTTTAGATGGACAATCAGGGGTAAGTATGGATTTAGTTGGATCCCAATTTATGAGATGGGTTATGTTATAAGTAATAAATTGGTAAAATAGGGCAATAGGAAGGTATCATAAAATTCATTATTTTTTCAATATTATTTTCAAGTTTATCGGGTCAAGATATGAATCATAAGAGGTATAGAAAAATAGAATTTTTAAAAATTTCATTTTTATTATTTATTTGAGAAAGAGTTTAAATTTGGACCAATCACATTAAGCAATATAATAAATAAATATTTAATATTTTTTCTTTAAAAGGAGCCATTAAAAATAAGGGCAATATGAGTCAAAGGATTAACATCGAGGGTATTTTTGAGTCGAAAGGTGGACGTCAGGGGTATTTTAGGGTCGATAGGTGGATGGATGGTAATTTTGTACCAATTCAAATACTTGAGGGGCATTTTAGACCATTCTCCGTAAAATATATTATGCTTGTTTGGTTAAAAAAAATGATATAATATATTATAAGTGTACTACAATATGTAATAAAAAATATTAGCCATGAATAAAACTTGTATTATATGTGTTTTATAAATTATTTTCTGCAATATGTATTAAAATTGTATTGTTCTACTGAAAAGAAACTATTGCTATAAATGGTAAATATTTTGTTAATATAGCATATATATATATGAGAAGCTGTCGCGTGCAAATTTAAGAAAAATCATCATATTTGTTTTGATATAATGTACCATGCGAAGCGCAGACATATTCACTAAAAATGGAAGAGGAGTAATGTATATATTAACATAATAATGTGTAATTATAGCAACCCTACTATATTTCCGCTAATGTATAAATATAGTAAACTATATTCCTCTTCCATTCAATTTCTTTTTTATTTTTAGCAAAACCTCCTCATCCAAGTGTCTAACTAACAAATTGAATGTACTATAAAATACCTCCAATCTCCCTTTCACTTTCCAATTAAAAGTATTTAGAGCCAAAACACAAGAAAATGATGAAAACTAATCACAAGCCTTCATATTTCATGTTATTTGCTATACTAACTATAGCAATTACTTCAAGTACAAGTTTTGTGCATGGATTAAACGTGATTGATAAATGTTGGAGAACAAATCCAAATTGGAGGAGTCAAAGACAACAATTGGCTAAATGTTCTGTTGGTTATTCTGGAAAGATGACTAATAATATTGGAGACGACGTAGTAAAATACAAAGTTACTGATAAAAGTGACGATCCCTTAAACCCTAAACCTGGAACCCTAAGATATGCAATGACGCATATTAAGGGAAAGATTTGGGTAACTTTCGAACAAAATATGAAAATTAGACTCCAAAAACCCCTTTTAGTTAGCAGCTTTACTACCATTGATGGCCGTGGAGTTAAGGTTAACATTGCTGGTGGCGCTTGTCTAATGCTTCAAAGGGTACGTAACATTAACACGATTTTCGCACTATTAGGTCAGCTTAAAAATAAAAATAGGTGATCGTACGTAAGTAATGTGAAAAATATATATATTTGACATCGTCTGCATGCTACAACATGTTAAGATACACTAATAAAAAAAAATAAGGAAAATCGTAAATGATATGCAAATACCCTATGTCATACTTTTGGGACATTGGTGCCTCTGTCATCTAAAAATTAGAGCATATATACCCTTTATACTAACGGACATACACGTGTCATAATCTTATCCACTGATCCGACGTTTATTAAATATCGGATCGACGGATAAGATGTGTCACATGTCCCTAGCTAGTCTTCCGTTAGAGTAAAAGGCATATATGCTCTAGTTTTTGGACGGCAGGGGCATCACTGTCCCAAAAGTATGATGGAAGGTATCTGCATACTATTTACGATAGTTTGGGGGTATATTTGTCTTTTTATACATTTACTGGTTGCTTGTACTCTAAACGTCATTGAAAAAAAATTCAGGATCCACCTTTGATCACAACTATATGTATGTAATTAATTGTCATGTTTTTAGGTGACAAATGTGATCATTCATGGTCTAAGAATCCACCATTGCAAGGCACAAACTGCGTCAACAGTCATGGGACCTGATAAAAAAATTGTAAATGTGGGTGCAGTGGATGGGGATGCTATTAGAATGGTGACTTCTTCGAAGATTTGGATTGATCATAACACCCTCTATGAAAGTGAAGATGGTCTGATTGATGTGACTCGTGGTTCAACAAATATTACTATATCCAACAATTGGTTTAGGACACAAAATAAGGTTATGTTGTTAGGTCATGATGATGGATTCCTTAGAGACAAAAACATGAAGGTTACTGTTGCATTCAACTATTTTGGTCCTAATTGCAACCAGAGAATGCCAAGGTACGTACCTTACAAATTTATATAATTGATTTCACGGCTCAAAATTGTAACCTATAAAATTAATTTTGCAGGGTTCGTCATGGATATGCACATGTGGTTAACAATGTATACAAGGGATGGGGTAACTATGCAATAGGGGGAAGCATGAACCCAAGCATTAAGAGCCAAGCTAATTATTTCTATGCACCAAATGATGGAAAGAAAGAGGTCAAACTTTTAACATGAAAATTAAGCATTTATTTATTTCAATATTTACATATGGAGGCACACATGGATCCAAATAGAATGAATTGAACAGATTCATATAACTGACTCCAACTAGTTTAGAACCGAGTTGTACTAGTTGATTGATTGATGAAAAATATGATACGATTGTGCAGGTCACATGGAAAAAAGAGAGTGGTGTAGTTGGTGAAGTGGCTGGGAATTTCCAGTCAGTTGAAGATGTATTTGCCAACGGAGCATGTTTCAATGGATCGGGTTCAGGTCGTGAGTTGGTGAAGCCAAACTATTCGCCAGAGCAAGCTTTTCCGGTGGAAGATGGACACAAGGTCAAGGACTTGACAAGGAATGCAGGTGCTTTAAAATGTTCTACCTCTTCTTCTACCTGCTAAGCAGTACACATATATACCTCAACTTGGATGGGGAATTGAAGATAAAATGATGATCAATACATTTGTAGTTTTTTTTACTGGACAATGGACATGCATGCTCCATATATATAATACCTCTTCTAAGAATCTAACGGGTGAAATTTTATTGGGTATGTTGTTAAATTGTTGTAAGAATCAACAAGGGTTAACTTTATTTACCTTGATGTACTTGTGCCCAACAGTAATATAGTTTGTAGTAATTTCTTAATACATGAAAAATATTCTCCTTCATACCAAACACACTTCTACGCTTCGCTTTCTTTTGAAGGAGATCTCTGCAGCATATATTATGTTCCATAGCATAAATATGTGAAGGAAACATCCAAGCTTCACGAATCTGATACATTTATATGCTTGGGAAGAAAAAGATTGCCTAAAGTAACAAGGAGAGAACAGTACGCTAGGATTTATAAAGTGAGAGAAGTAGCAACTCATTCACCAGACAGAAAGCTTCAAAACACTCACTAAAGAAAAGGTTTTTCTATAAAACACAAGTTTAGCAACTTGTAAAAAACAGATTATCCATATAAATTCAGATTAGCATACATATAAATAGACGGAGATCAAATACGATTTGTTTTGCATTTAGTTTGTGAAAATCATTGTTTGCAGCAATTTCAGGAAAGCACCAACAACCAACAATGGATAATCAAAGAACAAAAGCACTTTTATCCAAGAATATACTCGGATGTAATAGTCTATATTGCCTGAATCCACCATTCAATAAGTCTGAAAAACTCTCCCGCTGAATTTCCAAGGCAGTTCAAGTGCAACTCAATGCTAAATGTAATAAATTACACTCGACGTAAAAGTGTACCAGAATAATCATGTATAATGTGACCAACTCGAGTACATCAGTGTCCACTATGTGAAACCAACCCAATCAAAGACTTCAAATCACATGGGAACAACACGGGCCTTGTACATGCAAATATAAGCCATATGCCAATCACCTGAAACCAATAAGGCACTTTTATCAACAAACTCACAAAAAGATCAATACATTCAGGCTGCACAAGCAACTAAAAATATACCGTCTGGTTTGTATCTTTGATCTTACAAAGAACAGATAGGCTTGTCAGGCTTAGTATATAAACAAGTGATTGACTTACCACCCCCTGAAAGTTTAGTGATGTCCTCTTCTCGCTGCGGGATTGGATTGTCATCATCGAATTGAACCCACTTTCCTGTTCACAATGAGATTTTCAATATATTGTATCAGATGGTAGTCCAAAAACAACAGTTACTAGAACAAAATCTCTTCCCAGTTAAACTGACCGTTCTCTTGCTTGACCCAGGCAACATAATGCCCTGAGTCGGCACTTCTTCCCTTGTGAGTCAGCACCGCCACCAAATCATATATTCCAGTCAACTGGTGTTCCTTCTCAGGCAGAACACCTAAAATGGAGTTTATTTAATTGGAGCATCATTTGAAAAAAAAAATTAAGAAAATCACTGCAACTACTCATTCATAACTGAATTCCCAAATTGAGCTATTAGACTAGCTTTCCTTCTATATTAGAAACAATGAACTATTGATAAAAAAGTGACCATTCACAACTACTGCACCAAAATCTGGAACTAGTGAGTCACTCGCATAAATCCTCAATATTTCTGATGCTCCATTTGGGCCTATTTCATTCCAACACTCAGAAATTTGTCTTTTAAGAAAGTTACAGGGTTATCTAGTGCTAGAACTTCTTCAAAATTTTCTACATACAAACAAATGCATAAACATATTAAAAGACTCCAAGAAAACACCAATTTAGTATAAGTATACCAACCAACAAAGCTAAACCTAAAAGACTTCCATTGTTCTATAAATTCAAACGTGTCGCCTTCCAAAGGAACTTGTGAAAACGTCCTGAGGCATCAAGGGACATATAGTAATTTAAAAAGGAATATATCTGATCCAGTTAATAATCTTTATTGGATCCCAAAACTATTAATGGGAAGTCGCTTGCTCGGAATCAAAAATATTAATATTGACCTAGCAAAAAGAAGTTTGAATACCCAAGGCTGAACGTCATCGTCATAAGAACCCCAACAAAACTAATGGAAACTCTAATATTACTGCAAAATTATAACCAGCAATTAACAAATAGAGTTTTCTTCAAAGCAAAAAAAGGCTATATGAGTTGGAAGAGATCATGACAATGATTTTTCCCCCAAATACTACAATTGTAACGCCAGCCTTGTTTACAAATTACAATACTACAGCACCATATGTTTATTATGTCATCAATTATTAGGGAAAGGAAGTGTTTCTTCTACCTTCTTGGGATGTAGATTTAGATGCTTCTCCACTTCCACTAGATGATTCCTGTATAAACAGTAAAGAAAAACGAAGCAAAGGCAAAGGTTACTTTCAGACATTCTAAGTATCCCATTTCAACCACCTTGTAAAATCCACCATAAGTGGTCCCCAAAGGTCCGCCTTTATCCCCTTGAGTTACTCCTACAGTAGAAGGATCAATTTCATACCTCAGCCTCGGTCATTTTAGTGTCGCTGTCAGTTGAGACTGGAGTTTTTGCACTGGTTTTTAAACCAGCCTTCTTACCTTCTGCATCCCTCAAAACCTAGCAGGAAATTTAGACTATGTTACAACACGGCAAGAGAAAGAAAGGGGGCCAAGAGGATCTTTCCTTATTTCTTAAAGACAAAAGATCAATAACGGGCAAAAGGAAATACCTGGCGAGGACCTTCCAGTTTCTTGCGAAGGTTATCCGAACAAAGATCATATACATCCAACGACAATGGGTAATCCACTTTCTGATGGCATAAACATAGTTTAAGATTACCATTTCTTATATCTTAGAGCAATGAGCGACCCAATACATATAGAAACTATAACATAAGATTTTGAAATATAAGCGAACTTATATTACTACAGAAAGCAAGAACTGTCGAGTTTTAATAAGAGACATGTCTACTGTTTGAAGTGTACATAAATTTTAGTTTCCTAGATTATCATTTGAGTTCCTGAATCCTGATATATCTAAAATCAATCATGTACGAATTACAATTTACAACTCCTTGTTGTCACATAATTACAAGCCGTGGGTGGAAATGGAAGTGACCATTCTATACTTGTGCACAAAGGTGTATGGGTGATCTAGGTTGGATATGGGTGGGATTAATACAACCTTAATTAATACATCCTCTATTACCTTTCTCCCAAAAAAAAAAAGTTAGTCAGAACCCAACCTCGCCAATATTGGCTAAAAATGGTTGTAATCTCTTACTTATCCAATGCGTCGTCTTTTCCTTTTTATTTTTTTGACATGTCCCATATTCAATTAACTCTTAACCACAAGGACTATCGTTTTCCTGAAAGCATTACTTGAAGAAGTTTCTTAGCTGTTTATTATTTCTAGTTGCTGAAATGTAGTCGTTGAAGCATAAAAACTCCTCAGTGTAATTATTTCCAAGTTACGCCTACTCCAACATCAAAACATAAACTTAAGAGAGGTTTCAATCAATTTTCTATTGGAGGTCACTATAATCAAGGCTCCCACACCTACACCACCACAAACAAGTCTAAAGTTAAAATATACAGTTTGGAATTGACAATCCAGATAGGAGACAAGACTTGAAAGAACTTAAATGTGACAGAATCGGTCACCCTCACATAAAAAAGTAAAAAACTTCTTTCCCCAGTTTATGCATCGTAAAATGATCCTTTCCCCCTCTTCCACCTACTTGTTGATTATTTTCAAGGAGGAGACAACATTCGGAACAATGGGAAACAGAAGCGGAGCAAGTCAACATACCCGTAAAATCTTTGCCTTCTGATTTGATTCCCTTTTCCAGAAAAAACGGACGAACTGAATGGTCAAGTATCTATTCATCAAAAGAAAATAGTAAAAATATGATACGACTGCGGTATATACACTCAATAATCAGAGCTGAATAGTAAAGAAAATATCCAGAAAAGTGTGAGCACGAAAAGGCCCCCAAGAAAGTAGAATGTGAAAGAAAGTGATACTAGAAATGAGAACTACTTCAACACATCAAAAGACACTTTTGTTATGGGAGGAACATGGATTCAGATAACGGATCATACATAAGTCTCTCATGCAATGGAATTTAATCAAGCCAGTTCATACCTTGGCAAGCCATTGATTCGGGAGTCTTTCACATAAACTGCACTGCGTCCAAGTGAAGGAGATGCCTTCTCCAGTTCCGATTTCAGACCCTGTTCAGTAGAGCAATGATCATATGAGTGCAATCAAATCATTCCAGACAGATATATACCAGATTTCCACTATAAACATCATCGAAGATTGGAAGCACCAACTTAAACAAAATCTCCAAAACATATTTTCCCACCCTAGTGCATTCTGAGTTGGCATGGTACTGAATTTTGCTCTCCCCAATGGCTCAGCCCATATCTGACGTGAAACAATTGCATGAACCTCAACACGTACGCCCCACAATGGATAAGAGGCCATGAAAAATTCTAAAGGCAAAGACCCCACCCCACCCCTGCAGTACATGTGGGGCCCGTGAGGCATCCTATATGAAACTTTCTCCATCCAACCAACCAACCATTTCAGGACTAAGCATTAGTTATCCTTACTGCAGCTACCAAATAAATTTCTATGGATTAGATACGGCATCTTTCACTTAGGGACTGTGTTCTCCTTCAAGTTGAATGAATACCACATTGGCAAAAAGGAAGAAGTTGAAACAGAACTTAGCAGTAATACAAAACACAACGGAACAAACAAGAATGGAGTTAGAAATTAGATCATACAAAGAAGGAAAGAACCAAACTTACACGTTTCAAACCCTCGTGCAAATGATTAACTTCCTGCGAAATGTGGCATTTAAGGGAATAGACGGTTTCTGTTTCTGTGCTTTCTTCACCACTTTCAGCACAATGAATCCTGGTCAATATCAGTGTCATAAGAATAAGAGACAGACGCAAGCCATTTTCTTCTGTATCTAGCACAATTAATATCACATATGGAGCACACACCAA